CGTCTCTCTCTCTCTCTCTCTCTCTCTCTCTCTCTCTCTCTCTCTCTCTCTCGTCTCTCTCTCTCTCTCTCTCGTCTCTCTCTCTCTCTTTCTCTCCCTCCAAGCTGTTCCGGGAGGGTGTTGCGGGCACCAGAAGCTGTAACAGATGGTGATATCAAAAGATTTGGGGTGGTGAGTGGGTCTCCATTGTAGCATCATTCTAACCCTTATACCTCATCCCTCAAGCAACTGTAATTAAGAGATTTTGAGTTTGAGATGGCTTTTTGAGTTTTGAAAAGCCTGTTTTTAAATGTAATGCTCGGTTGCCTTATTTTGCTTAGCCTACGTGGATTTTGAGCTCTACATATCAAATCCCAGCTTGCAGACTAGCAACCAATAGACAAAAAGAAATGAAATTTGCCATACAAAATGATGCTGGTTTGAATTGCAAGATGCATCTTGCATCTGGAAATCTGGACCATCCATCATATAGTGCGGAGCCCCACCTTTGCCAGTATTAGTTATTGCTGAGACTCCCTTCTTCCTTATAATGTGTATTTTGTGTATGATGAATGATTATATGTTCTTACCATTAAGAGTGGACTTATTTTAAAGGGGTTCAGCTTATGGATGGGATGGATTTGGAGCATTAGTGCTTCCTGAAAATATTGGCCCTCTTTTGAGAATCTAACTTGTTTCATGCGTATGGATTTATACTCTCTTTTGGTTGATTCTCTGATATTATGAAAGCTGAAGGGGCTTGAAAGTTAGGTTCCCTGGTTGTGTCGCTCTGTGTTTTTCTTTCGGGCAGATGGGGATAAACTGAGAGAGAGAGAGAGAGAGATATGAAGCCTGAAATTGTTTGGGCCGGAAAACATTGGTACTGCCTTTGGTCTCTCCTTTTTAAGTGAAATTGTTTGGAATTTTTCCGCTAAGTTTCCAGGACTGACTCGGACTTGACTAAGTAGTAATGGATGACTTGGATCTGGACCTTAGCGAGTACCTACCCCAGGGTGCTCTTTGCTTGCTATGTTTGTTCACTCCTTCGTTTGTGTATAGTAAGTACTAAGGGGGGGCCGTAACTCATGAGATCATTCCGTCTCTTGCTCTCAAAATTTATCCAAATGGAGGATAGAAACGTTGCATTTGGAATCATATGAAATGTGCATTACAATTTGAGAAGTAAATCTCACAATGGGCGCAAATCGACGGAAGTTGATAAGAGTAGTTTTATGAGCAAAATATGTATTCAGGTAGATATGGGAAGTAATTTCTCATAATCGGCACAAAGTCGAAATTGACGAGTGCTTTTACGGTAATATATGTATGGGTGCGGTTTACCATAAACATTCCAATTAATGCGCACCTTAAAATTTGATTATAACATGTAATTCTGTTGTAAAAAATATTTAGTATTATCTTAAAATCTATTTTCGTATGTAATTATAAAATTTTAAATTAAAAAAATGGTTAAAATCAAGTCGATCTATAAATATATGAAAATCTTGAAAATAGACGGTCTAGATAATGTGTTGCAAGATGTACTATTTTTGGGATTCAAACTTTTTTTTCATATTCATGCATCTCAATGTCGAGATGATTGATTAGAGGGTTTCTCAACATTAAAACAACATTTTCGAGAGATTTTTGAGGTGGTGATTCTACATTTTAAGTTTGCAACCTTATATAAACTTTTCCCTATATGTATTCAGGTAAATATTTTGGTCTAAATTTTTGGTGAAACATTTGTCTCGCTATATTAGCTGACCACAAATGTTTGAGAAGAGACTTTGATGATGATGATGATGATGGGGATATTTGTCTCAATAAATTCAAAAAAAAAAAAGTTTTAAGACAAAAGAGCTTTCAGACTCTCCAGAGGCGGTGTATAGAGTGGAAATCATTTGGATGGTTTTAGGGGTGTCATTTCATTTTGTAGACATTAATCTCTGGGATGAGTAGAAGATTTGCAAGTTTAGGGGTTCAGTGGAATCCCCCAAGTTAGTTTTTGCCAGCGGACTGGGTGTGCTTAGGTTTATGTAAGTTGCAACATTAGAATGTAGAATTAAAGATGTATCTCAAAAATCCATCGAAAAATATTTTTCTAATATTGGAAAATCTCTAATTGATTATTTCAGCATCTTACAACACATTATATAGACAGTCTATTTTCAAGATTTTCACATATTTATAGATCTACCTGATTTTAACCATTTTTGGAGTTCAAAATTTTATAATCAGACACAGAGCTATATTTTCAGATAATCTTAAGAATTTTTAACACCATCACATGGATTTTACAAGGAAACGTACGCCTCATACAAACAATCATGGACTTGGCCAAAGCAGTCCTATGGTCCGTAAGTGTGGAATGTAAGCTAAGGGAGAATAAATAGGAGTGCTAATGTTAAATATTTCTATGGCCCTTTTCTTAAATAGGAGTGCCAATTGTAAATATATACGTTGTCTAATCTCTTTCCCATCCAATTTTTCAAGGCTTGTTTAGGTACCTGGATTGGATTCTCCATAATAGAGCTATCCAAGTACTGGGCCCTTATCCCATGTTTGGGTAACACATTCACGTGTGGATAGCTCAATCCTAGAGAGTGGCCAATCCACATTTTTGGGAAAAAGACATGGAGAATGCTAGTCCACCAAAATAGTTGGAATAGAGCTATCCACGGTTTTCTGGATTGGCCAATCCCCGTTGGACCCAAAATTTTACAATTCATTCAAGTTAATTTGGAACATTGAGGTCTGCAATCACAATGACATCTTACTTAAATATTATATTATATTTTACATATAATATAATAAATATTTATATTATCTAGAATATAACATAAATATATAAATATATAAATATATAGTATATATAGCATAAAAAAATATGTAATATAATGTATTTCGTATTTATTTTATTAATGTATATTTCTCCAC